TCAACTCCTTTCAACTAATATCCTTTAGCTTACAGGCACACGGTGTAGTACATGCATTGCGGTTGTTAATATAGTCATCAGCCCCCACATGCGTGTATTGTATAATAACAATTAAGGTTGTTGGAGGTTTTGAGTTGGATATTTTTAAGGGTTGTGGACTTAATTGTCCTCAGCAATAGCTTGTTTTATAAACAGAAAAATTGTAAAATGAAAATTTAAACAAGTAAGCAAAGGCTACAGTCGAGCGGGGCCGACCGTTGAATACCCTACAACACTATAATAAACGATACAGTTAATATAGGCGAGATACTCGAAAGAATTCCACAAGATATTGTGACAAATAATAAAAGAAAACCAGGTTTCGTTCTCTAATTTTCGAATAATAGCAACTGAAACTAATTTGCTCATTTCCAATTTATTGGTAGATGTTGCACGTAAATGGTCTTCCTAGATCTGGAACCAATATTTCCCAAAGACCTATAATCTCTCAGAAGTGGCAAAAGATTAACATTTATTATTGGTTTTTGACTGAAACGCATCTATATGAGATACAAACATTTGACTACATTCTTCAACGAAATCAGCGTTAACGAAATAGTCAGAAGTGCGTCTTTCATGTATTTGTGAATTCTCCAAAAAGTCACTGGAATGGACATTTTCGTATTTTGTCTATAAAAGTTGGCAAACTCCTTCACACATTGAATATTTTTGGATGGCCATCCAAAATTGCTTGGCTTTTGCAATGTCCGATAACCCCCATAATTACGACCTGCTGACAATTTTGCAGTTTTTTGGTCCATTTCAACCCCTAAATATATGGCGATCATCTCCAAAAAGAATAGGCTTTTATTCTGACCCTCATCTTATCTCCATGCAAAATTTCGTAAGGATCGGGCGATAAATGCGATCTGTATATGATATCCTGATATCCTAACTACTTAGTTTTGTTAGCTGTAGAAATATTACCAAATGTTTAATTCAAAATGAAAATATGCCAAAAATATGACAAAATTGAAAAAATATGAGAAAATTTTACAAAATCAATATTTTCATCTTTAGAGATATATTTTTATGCGATTTTTTAGACGTTTTATGTTTCCTGCCAAGAGGCCATTCTGAATTAATGAGAACTGTCGAAATCAGTTCAGCCGTTCCCGACATATAAGAGATTTTTCAAGCATATCTTCTTTGATGAACATATATATCGCACATATTTTGCTATATATCCGTTTTGTTGGATGTTAACATCAATGTAAAGATCAGAAGTAACCTTGTCATGGCTTTGTGATTTCGCCGGGATTTAAAATATTCGCGGTTTAATGAAAAATTTTTGAATTTTTTCAACAAAAAAGATATGGGCTATTTTACCCGCTAAATATTATCCCATGACCACCCAAATTAGTAGGCTTCTTGCCAGCCCTAAACTCTAGCTACATGCGAAATTCCGCATCGATTGGTCTATAATTGCGACCTGTAGAGCAAGTGCAAAATCAGGAATTTTTTCAGTATTTGGTCCATTTCAACCCCTAAATATTATGCGATCATCACCAAAAGGAATAGGGTTCTATTCTCACCCTAGCCCCACCTCCATTTTAAATTTCGTGAAGATCGGACCATAATTGCGACCTGTAGAGTGATTACAAATTAACATGGACAGACGGACAGACGGACGGACGGACATACATAGCTAGATCGACTCAGCTCGGCGAGATAGGAAGATCCATATATACTTTCCTATGTGGGAAATCAATATTTCGTGGTGTTACATAATTTTTGGCCCAATCAAACTTATAATACCCCCAACACATAGTGTTGTAGGGTATAAAAAGAAATTGAAAACATTTGAACAGACATAGATTGATTGAAAGAACTGATGGAGTTTGGTGGTTATTTTCGATACCATGGCCCTTTCTTTCCCATATATAAACAGAGGTATTTGTCTCCACAAATAAATCAACAAAGGTCAATTTTTGCAGCTCCCTGAAATGTTTTGCCTCCGTGAAAGAATTAACTTTTAATAGTTCAAAATTCATTGAGCTACCAATATTGGTATCGCATAATTTAGGTATTTTCTGCAGGTCGATACGAGAGTGAATTGTAATTTATTACTTTTTCTCTATTCACTTCAATTGAGAAATTCCTTCTTTCTCTTCCAAACAAAACTACTGAGTGAATCTTACAAAAAAAGTAAAATCTGAAAAAGTAAATATGATTAAAATCTATGTCTAGAATAGATCATTTTAATATGATATGACAAATACCTATATAAATTATGACAAATTGTTTAATCCTTTTTTAATTAAACCTAACTTAAAAAAGCAAAATACACGTTTTTTTGGAATCGGTATTTTTTATCGCACCCGAAGTTTGGGAACTGGAGATATGAACAAAAAACCATAAAGCACAATGAATTGTTGTTGTGAATGTAAGGCTTGAAACAACATTAATGTTAGTCACCGTTACTAACATTAATGTAGTATGATCAACAATGCATCATATGAATGCGAGTTCAATACCAGCGGCAGAAAAAGAAAATTTAGAAGTGTGCTGTAGAGAAATGGAACATAGAGAATAAAACGTTTTTTAGCTTGATTTGGGATTCTGGCGTACCTAGGGGAGAAAGTGCTGAGCCCCGGACGAATACCGTCTACATAAAACTTTGGTGAATGTATTTAGTTTTTAGGATAATATCTCTGAATCAGGGAAAAAGATTCGCACATATAAGAAAGATTATATTGTCAACCATCATTTGGCATGTATTTTTCTGTTTTATAAAAAATCCGTTTCATATGAGTCACTTGTTGGATAGGTATTTTTATAAGCTTCCAAATTATCTAGATAGTTTTGGTAGATCCGGGTCTAACATAGGTCTTAGATCCGGACTTTCGAGTTAAATATCTGGATACACGAGTCCGCCCCCCCAGTTTTTACTAATAATAAATAATAATAATAATAATAATAATAATACGGGTAATTCGGGTCAAAATCAACCTAAGGAATTATTTTTTCAGAAAATTCTGAGATTTTACAAAACTAGAGTTAAGACACAAACGTAGTAAGTAGAACCGTTGTGGAGTTCCTTGAAATAATTGGGAACTGATTTTTTAGGACTTGTCCACAAACATTCCGGAGATCAATGAATCTGTCATCATGAACTCGTGTGCAACAGCCTCGAAAACATTCGGTTTACTTAGAAAGTTATTTTCGAAGCAAATGAGGGAATTTGGGGCATGTATTGAAAAAACGACTTAAACCTATTACTTATCCATTTTTGTATTCCAAGGCATTGCCACACGCTACATGAAACATCTCGGAAGTAATGTGTACCACTCTTATGGCACAAACTACTAATGCGCATTACCACTGACGAAAGGGGAGGATGGATATAAAGCATTATGTTGCACACACACAGAGAGACAACACGAAAACAACATCCATGTTTCAAAGTCCAGTTTGCTTTACAAAATCGCAGATTTCTTCCATTGCAAGGAGAGTGTTAGAATCAATCCAACGACAAACGCAACCATAATGTTTGGGAATTTTGGGACTGGTCATAATTCTGAATAATCTTATTGATCAATATGTGTAAAATCGTATTGAAAAATCTTGTATGTATGGATTGTCTAGATTTTGCTACCAATCAATGGACTATTAATAATCCGCTTTGCATTTTTCTTGTTGTAGTTCGTTGCTTTTTAACAAAGAAAGGATTCTTTGAAGATTTTTGATTGTTTCTTTTTTTAGGAAATATGGACTTGAAAACGATTACACACTTGCGTTAGTAATTTACAAGAACAAAATAAACTTATTTTTTGACACTCTACCACTACTTACTTTTATTAAATTTTCTCTTTTTTCTGTTGTTTATCACGAATACAAAAAAATCTTATTGCTCGTAACTAATCGCTTATAATCGTGTTAACTAGAGGTGGGAAACAATCGATGGCATATCGATAGTAAAGATACTTTTTTTAAAAGCAAGTATCGATTCCTGTGCCAATTCTAATATTAAGTTCATACGTGATTAGCTCTTTATTCGTTGTTTGACCCTTAGTCTACGTCCACACTGTGATGTTTTCAAGATTGACTTGAAAATATGCATTGGTACGGAAAGTAGATCAAAGCTTAAATTATGAATTTGGTCTGAAGATACAGCATCGGTTATCGCAATAAAAACTTTTAATTCTTGCAGTTCTGGGATATACCATAAGTTTGCGGTGATATTTTTTACGTTCGATACGTGAGAAATTAATGATGTTATAAGTTTGTTTGTGTGCTTATATCAGGGTAGGTACTTCATGTATTTTCGTTCAAATGCTCATTAAAATCCCTAGTCCAATTTTTTTAAAATTTTTTACTGAGAACCATGGTAGAATTAAGAAGGTAGAGTTATGTAATCTTATGTTTACAATTTTTTCAAATTTATACATTTGACAACATCTCATTGTCAAAATCTATATTCATAAATCCATTGTATACATACAAAATCAGACAGGGGAATTGTTTTTTATGCATCGAAATTTGACAAAGTAAATTGCAGAAAATGCAGAGCAGGAATTGTAATTTGAAATGAGGTTACCTTTATTTCATTGTACTATGCTGAGAACTTACAAAACTGCAAGAATGTAAAAGTTTTTACTCCGATTTTACCTACTTAGATTTTACCTATCGAAAAAATTGCAAAACTTGTGGAGTCTTGCAGGTTCTGGAACAGAGCTTTAATGTTGTACTTTAAGTCTTAACAAAATGAGATTTAAGTCTTCGCATGTCATATTTTGTGAAATTTCATAAGGAGATTCTAGAGCCACATTCGTAGCCTGCAGTTGTTTTCTTTATAATTTGACATTAATATATCTAGTCATGATGTCAAGCTGCTTATGTACTCACACCTCAAGAAATTTTTATTGAAATAGTCCTAGTATGGTAGAAGAATATACGTAGATTCATGAACATTGATTAAATAAAAAATATTACATTAAAAACATTCAAATTCTGTTTATGTTGTTTTATAGATGACGCGTGGCATTAAAAAAGGGACGGCGCGGTCATTGCCATTGACTTAAGAGTATATTGATTTTAATTTACTGTCCACGTAAGATTATTTGGCTTTGCTTTGAAATGAATGAAAAATAATAAAGGTTACAGCCTTAAAAATGGTTTATTTATGATTTATGAAACATACTTACAGAATGTCGTATAAAAATGTAAAATTTAGAAACTATTCAAAGGTCCCTTTACTCTTATCGGCCATTTTGATCACTTTGCTTAATTTGGAGAGGTTCGCTTAAGAACAAAAATCCATAAATAATTAGTAGTTTTTTTTAACGGCCAAACGCAAGTTGCAGTTTATTTTATTCATTTAATTTAGTTTTTAAAGCTTATCCCAACGCCAGATTGTTCCATCGTCGCAAACACAAACCAAAATTGAAGAATCTCTTGAAAACGTGGTTTGCCTTATGGCAGCATTACATTTTGGATGAACTAACGTACTGCACTTTGTTGCGTTAGGGTCAGAGGCATCCAATTCCCAAACGTAGGTTTTGCCCTGCTGGTTACCCAGGGCTAACATTTTGTGCCACAGATTAAAGGCAAATCGAACAAACCAAATTTCACACTCCTTGTAGTCGAAATGGTGAATGACACTCGTCGCAGTTTCTTGCGGTCTAACTTCTTTTTGGTCCAATTTTCCCGGTTTCCAACAAATGATTGAATTTTCACAGGACTTTGATAGCACAAAGTCTCCAAACCAGACAACACAATCAACGTAGTTGCGATGAATATCTCTGGTGGAAAAGTCAGGGAAATGTTCTTTTATTGTTGGGTAGGGTGCGGCATTCTTGTTCACATTGTAATGACAACTGCTCTCTAAAGCGTCATGAATGGCTGGCTTATTGAGACACCACAACTTTAACGAGTGGTCCATGCCACTGGACATAATGCGATCTCCTTTTGAGTCAAAATCTAATGATAGAACTTCATCACGATGGCCTTCAACGCCACCAAATATGGCTACACACACATCTGAACTTACATTCCATAAACGTAAAGAATGATCCTTGCTTCCAGATAACAAAATGTAAGGAAGTTTTGGGTGGAATTTCAACTCATTTATAGCATGACCATGGCCAATGAAATGTTTATTGCTCATGTTCCTTGAGATGTTAAAAAGACGTATAACTCCTCGATAACCGGCAGCTGCCAAAATTGGTTCAGATGTCTCAACATCGTAGGACCATGCACAGGTGTAAAAGTTTTCGTCAGGCTAATAAGACACATACATGTTTTTGGTTTATATATTTTAAATATTTAATCCATAATCTTACATCTGGATCAGCATAACATTGCAGCAATTTTATCCCGCCGTTACCATCCTCAGGTGGCTCAGTGCACTCATAAATTGAAATACGATCTTTCCCAACAGATGCGAATATGGCCTGTTGCCATAAATGGTGATTGAATTGAACACCAAAAATTGGTTGACCGTGGTCCTCCCGCAGATGACAGCTGAAAAAGTAGACAACGTTTTCAGCATTGTGTTGTTACTGTTTGTATTGAAGACATACATACACATATTTAAAAGATGGCTTCACAATTTTCGTCGCTTTACATTTCCGATGTAATTTATTGAGGCCAAAACTGCTTCGCGACGTTGCTGTGCCAGTACTCACGGAATCATCCTTATCATCAATGTCAGTGTCATGTCCCTGTTGTTGGACAATACTTGCAGAATCTACAGCGTAGTTTGTGTCGATATCATCCAGCATTACTTACCACCTGACGCCAGCCATATGGTAGGATGTATACAGAAAAGTTAGCTTGTCAGTGTTTACTGTAGCTTGTTGAACAATGGTTACACACGTGTGTGTGTGTTTGGGCAAAACATTTCAGTTTAACTAGTAAAACCTTGTTTTGCACTATATGCAGTCCAAATATTCAATGCAATTCTTGATAATATAATTTTTTTTTTGGTTATCTATGCAGGGAACAGGAAGGTCGAGAGACTTTGGTTAATCAGCTCATCAGGCATATTTGAGACAAGGGACTTACAGGGGTTTAGAATGTGTGGTAGTCTCGCTGATTTTCGTTTTCACTTCAAATAAGCATTGTCACCTTAATTTAAAATTAAATAAATCAGAAAAAAGGCAAAAAGACAAAAAAAAATTAAGAAGAATGGTCAAGATGTCAACAGTCTTGAACGGCTAATAGACACATCAAAAATTTAACATTGCCTTTAAAAACAATTGGTTTGTTCTAATATCTTAATTTTTATTTAAGTGCTTGCGTACAGTTCTTTTTCAAGGTCCTCATTAATGTACATTTCTACTTCTCGTATTGCCTTAAGACTATGTTCAGTTCGCGATAATAACTCATTAATAAAGTAACCACGTAAGACATTGACTTTAGTTTGATTTTGCCGAGCCTTCGCATAGGCCACATCCAACTCATTTGGAAGAAAGGGTCCCATTTTTAAATCAGCAGCAACTTTCAGAAAGTGGCACTTTTTATTGCGCAATGTGGCAAGTTGCTCGAAGTTGGATCTTCTCTGCATTTCCAGCCGTAGTATTTCTTCGTGTGGAGAATTCGTGTCACAAAATAATTCTGGCAGTTCACTGCGCATTTTTGTGCCAAAATCCCTAATAACAACCAAATTAGCAAGAAGTTTTTCCGAAAGCTGCTGTCTCACCGCTTTTCTTTCAGTGTAGTTAAGATTGACTTGGCACAACTCATTTAAGTCTAAAATATACCAATTAGCCTTAATTTTTGATACGTAGCAGGTTACTTACCCAAAATACAATCATTTCTTTTCTCGTTCATATATAAATAATCGCCGATTTTAATGACTTTCAAAGTCTTCTCAATTTGATCCTTGTCAGGTATTAGCATTTTATGACAGTTCAACTGTTTCACTTCTTTCAAGACTAGGCGCAACTTTCGAACCTTGGCAAGTTCCTCATCACGAGATTTCTGCAACTGTTCAATTGTCTCAGAATTTAATATTCGCGTCGTTTCGTTATTGCAGTCCATTTTATTAAATTTTAAATAATGAATAATAAAGCGAACCCGCGTCCAAACACCGAAGTGGAAAGATCATTTCGGTGGCGGCGTTACATATTGACCTATTGGCGGCGACACGCTAACCTTTTTACCGACTCGCTACTGAAATGGCCATTACAATTTGTATGAAAATTTATGTCGCGAGAAGAATGTGGATCCAAGAATAAAAAAAATAATTATTTTACAGCTCATGGGGATTATGAAATTTTGCGTTTTGGAATTAAGAAACTTAATCATACTAAGTACTCGATACTGTGAAAAATCTGTCACTCCAATTGGTGTCATATGGAACAGAACTACTTTCACATTTGTTCAATTTGTATCATGTGTCTGTAGACAAACATTCAACCTCCCCCTATAGTAAAGCTCATATCCATGGTACATATCACCAAATTTATTATCTACTAATGTTGTAAAGACTGATAATTTATATATTCCAATTACATATATTCATCGACGTATTAGGGTAATCTTCATATAAATTCATGTATTTTAGTTGTGTGGTCGAATTTTTGGTAACGCTGTGCTGTGATAAAATAATCCTTCTACCAAGCGTCATTTTATGGTGAATGAACAACATGAACTAAAATAACTAAATGAACTAAAGGTACTATTTTAACTTAATGAACTACATGATTGAAGGAGTTGGATATAGTTCCGATCGTTCCTTTCGCAAAGCAGTTACTTTGAACTGCTTCTTTCCGGAACGGCACAACTCTTGTTAAATTGTTTTGGTTATGGATTCGGAGGTAAATAAATAGTTTACTGTGTATTACAAAGCAAATACGATATGCGAATATGGGGCATGTTCTTTTCTTTTATCAGGCACATTCACGCTGATCAAATCCAGTGCCTGTGCAGTACGCTAAAAACGTTGTTTTTAAAAACATGTAATATGTCTTAAATCATAATTCCAGGCCTCCAGCAAAAAATCGAGGAAGAGTAAATCTCGCAAAAGGACAAGGGACGCAATTGAACCACTCGATGATAAAGGAATTGTCCGGAAGCAAAAAGAACTGATGAGAGTTTTACACGTTAAAAACTTTCAGCTGCAAAACGGAAATCTATCGTACTTGGATTACATCGAGTTGAGGGAGGAGCTACTTCGTTTGAATGCCCTGAAGGATATTTTTAAGAATATGGAATAAAAATAAAGCAGTAAGAAAGTAAACATTAATAATTGTTATTGGTATTTGCTTTTTGGCTTGCGGGCAAACAAATTATTGGAGACACTAATTTCAATCGTGTCTGCTCAATTAACTATCCAATATAGACAATATTGGAAGGTTCCACCTTCAATATCTAACTAAAAAGTTGTCACACAATGGAGTAAACCAGACCGGTTCGGTGTTATAGTAAATATATATATATATATAATTGTAGCAGATAATATTTCCAAAAAAATCTTTCCTGGAACCAGAGATATAACCATATCTTTCTAATAACTAAACTCTTTTCTAAATTGTCGGCTATACTTTGGGGCCTGAAGACAGAACTTTTGTCATAAACCATTACAATATTCAGATGTGAAACTTAAATAAAAAAATTCGGTGAATAATGTAGCAAAAACCATCAAAATTCGAATATAGGGAGGTACCGTTATATTGGGGCTATACGAAGATGTGGACCTGCACAATTTTCTGTCATAGGCTGTAGCATCCGTTACGAACTTCAAATATCAAATTTGAAACAATTCCGGTAAATTATGTCGCTAAAATCACCAAAGAAACGAAAAAAGGGAGGTACCATTATATAGGGGCTATACCAAAACGTGGACCTACATCACCAATTTTCAATACCAAAAGTCCCACAGACATAATACACATTTGAGTAAAATTTTATCAACCTACTTCATTTCGTTCGGAAGCTAGAGTGATTTCAACAGACGCATATAAGTTGTGTAACCATTGCTTTCTAACCGCTAAATTACTTTTGAGATTTTCTCGGGACTGACTCGGTCACGTACCCGCACTTTCTGGTCAAATGTACCGATGCCGCCAAAAAAAATACTTCCCGAAAAAAGAATAAAAATCGCCACTTCTAGAAAAATAATTCTATTACTCTTAAGAGAGAAATGATTTAGGCTCTATGAGACGATATGTTTTTTACATTGACATTTCCGTTGTTGTAAAAATTAATTCATAAGGTATTATAATTATCTAGAAAACACAATATAAGCAAAGGGGAAAATAAAACGTAGCAAGTGTGTGATAGCGAGAATTGAGTCATATGTAAAATGGCAATAACGAATGTGACTGTATACATGTAACATCCGATGGTCTTCAGTAAATTTTAAAGGAAAATTACGCAAACAAAACGAATATATGTTCCTCGACATCATGGCACAATGTTTTGCCATTCTCGACACTTTAGATTAATTCTAGGGTCGCAATTTAATTAAAAGTGAGATTTCTAAAATTTCACATGGAAATGGTGTATATTTGACGTCTATCGGACGCCGTGGTTTGTACTAACAAGCCATGCGACGACGTCGGAAAATGAGCATCGACTTAGAATTTATATCAAAACGTTTATATTGTACATATAAGTTTAAGAACAAAATAATTCCGAAATTTGTTGAAGAAAATCTACAAAATGGGCTCATCTTCAAGCGGAAAAAAACACAAAAAGGATAAAAAACACAAGAAACATAAGAAGCACAAGGAAAAACATGTGATTACGGTCACAGAGACCGATTCAGACAGTAAGTGATTTGCTAGGGCTGCAATAGCCAACTTGGGTCTGGGATGTGAATGCTTTTGGGGATGTGTGTGGTGGCATAAAGAAGGAATAAATACTAGCAAGCACAGAAGATAAGCGATTTTTTAAATGTGTTCATTTTGAGGATATGTTTATTCCTTCTTCCCTCACACATTTTTTTGGGCTGAAATCATCGAATTTTCTTTCATTCTCTCTTACAGGCTTGTTGAACAAGAGGTAATCTGGGTTGAAAGTAACTCAAGTTTTTGATACTTGTTGACGGGTTTAAATTGAGTCGAAACAAACGTGTTGCAGTATAAGATTAGACCTAACTTATTTTCATTGTTTCAGGTTCAGATTGTATTGAAGTTCCCGTGGCAAATGACGGCACCAAAAGCAGAAGCAGAGAACGTGATCGCAGTGCTCCCCCACCACCCCAGCTATCCAAACAGTATGAATTTGAAGAAGATCGTCGGAGACGTGAATATGAAAGGGAACGAGAAAAGGATCGTGAGCGGGATCGTGATCGCGATCGTGAACGCGATAGAGAACGTGACCGAGAGCGAGAACGACAACGCGATCGGGAGAGAGCGTATGAAAAAGATTTGGGTCGGGAAAGAGATCGTGATCGTTACGAAAAGGAGCAAATAAGGAGACGGGAAAGGGATGTTGATGATGGTATGGACAGGGAAAGACGAAGGGACTACGAAAGACGCAGAGAAAGAGAACGAGATAGAGAACGGTCCGATAGGGACAGACGTTCTCGTCGTGTGGAAGATAATGAAGACAGAGATATTGAAAGGGCTTTGTCAGTTGAGAGCGAGCGTTCTAAATCAGTAGAAATTTTAAGGTCTCAAGAACGAGACCTTTCGCCAATACCTGAAAATGGCGCTGGTGATTGTCTGTCGATTGAAGAAACCAACAAGTTAAGAGCTAAGTTGGGTTTGAAACCATTGGAATTGGATTCCGGGCCATCTGCTAAGCCGACCACTTCAGCCGCTGCAGCAGCCGAATTAAAAATACCTGGGCAAAAAGATCTGTCCTCATACAAGGACGAATGGGGAGAGTTTTTGCACAAACCAGCTGAAAACCTAAAAGAGAAGAGCGAAACGGAAAAGATTAGGGAGAAACTGAAGCAAAGGAAAGAGAAACGGGCTTTGGAAGAACGTCTTGCCCGTATTAAAACTCTTGGTGAATCGGACGATGAGGTTGACGACATAAGTAAGTGGGTGGAACGTAACAAGCGAGCCGTGGATGAAAAGAAGGAAGCCGAAAGAAGAGTAAGCGCTGACCATCTTTGAAATAATATATATGTTTGAACTTTTTATTTCCAACAGGCCAAGCTCTTGGAGGAAATGGATCAAGAATTTGGGGTTGATGATCTTGTACAAAAAGAACAGGAGGAAACTCGTCAACGTGCATATGATGAGAAACATCTTAAAGGCCTTAAAGTTGATCATGATGTAAATGATTTCACCGAAGGAAAATCTATAATCCTGACACTTAAAGATGCCGATGTACTGGATGAAAAAGCTGACGACACTTTGGTTAACGTCAATATGATCGATGATGAACGATATCGCAAAAATGTGTCGGCTAAAAAACTGAATCCTTTGTCGTATGGTTACAATGTTTACGAGGAACAGTATGATGAACTAGGAAATCCTATAGAAAGGGGCATTTTGGAAAAATACGATGAAGATTTAGACGGAAATAAGAAGAAAACGAAAACGTTTGTTATTGGAGAAAATCTGGAAGAGGAACGCGAACACCAGCGTAAAATTTTGGAGATAAAAACAAAATTGGCTGGTAAAAGGCTGGAAACCCTAGCTGACGTCGAGATAAAATTAGCCTCCGATACATTGACGGAAGCCGAAATGGCCACGTAAGTATCTTGCGTTAACAAAGTGTTTAACGTAAACTCATTAAAATCAAATCTATTTTCTTTCTTTTATATAGCTTTAAGAAACCGAAAAAGAAAAAGAAGCTCAGACAAAAACTTAAAGCTGATGATTTGGTACCACTTGCTGATGAAAATCCAACTCAACATTTGGGAAGTCGATTGGGTCGACATCGCAGTCCCAGTGACGGCGATCCTTCTTCTGTGTCTACCGAACCTGACGTGAAAATCGAGGAAGAGGACGATGACATGGAACGAATTCTCTCCAAAGCACGTAAGCTCAAGCAGAAAGAAAGCATTATAAAAAAACCATTACCTATTGAGATAAAAACGGAAGTTAAAGCCGAGCAAGGCGATGATAATGCTATGGACATTGATGGGGGTCGTGAAAACAATATTGTTTTGAATGCAACCGCTGAATTTTGTCGAACATTGGGAGACATACCTACTTATGGCATGGCTGGTAATCGGGACGAAGACTCAAACGGCATGATGGACTTCGAAGTCAATGAAACCAATGATGATCGTGTACACGAAGAACCCGAAGATGTGCTAGTGGAAAGTGGCCATGGTACTTGGAACTCTGTTAATCCGGATGAAGTCAACAAACCTGCCAATTTGGATGCCATTGTCAATGAGGTTGAGGAAGTAGCCATTTTAGACGAAGAACCCGATGTTGGTGCCGGAGTAGCTAATGCTCTTCGTTTAGCGCTTTCCAAAGGCTATTTGGAGAAGGAGGAACATAATCGACCCAGTAACTCAAAAATGGCTCATTTGCAAGCAAAGAATTATTCAATAGAAGATAAAAATATGGGGTATAAACTACATATAATTCTTTAATTTTCTATATTTACAACTTTAATTTGTTGATTTCATTTCCAGGGAGGATGATAAATTTGGTAGGCGCGATCGATTTCATGGTGGCCCCATTATGGAGTTCAAGGACAAAGATAATTTCAAACCAAATGTGAAACTGGAATACATTGACGACAATGGTCGCATATTGAATTTGAAAGAGGCTTTCCGTTATTTGTCTCACAAATTCCACGGCAAGGGCCCGGGCAAGAATAAAATTGAGAAGCGTCTAAAAAAGATGGAACAAGAAGGGGTATGTGAAGAACATTTAATAGTGTATTTTATTTCTTAACATATTTATATATTATTTTCAGCTAATGAAAACGATGAGCTCCACTGACACTCCTTTGGGAACACTTACCATGTTACAACAGAAACAAAAGGAAACTAAGACCCCGTATGTGGTACTAAGTGGAGGTAAACAAGTATCTACAAATATTTCGGGAGGAACAATATCTAAATTTAAGTAGAATGTAAGTTGTTTATGCAAGCCATACGTTATGCTCCTTAAGGAATGATATAAATATATGCAAACGTATAATGTAAGACTACTATAATAAGCAAAATTTCCACAAACTGCAATAGTCGCCTAAACAATAGTTTATTAAATTACACATTTACATACAATTGTAACCAACAAGGATAAGCTTAACCAAAGTTGAAATCAGCAACTTCTCAAATTGTTGCTTTTTCACCACATAACAATTAATGCAATAGTCTTTCATTTATATTTTAGCAATTTATCCCTTATTCATATTATTATATGTGTCTCACACAAAACTTATACATGCTGGTAGTAATCGTATTTTTCAAACATCATTATCCATCCTAAGGTAGAAAGAAAATGAGATCAGATTGTCCGTATGGTCAGAACTTCCGTTTCGAAGAAAACTAAAATATGGATAAACATAATTTTTAAAATAAATTTGAGTACTGTAAAATGAAGTATGATACACATGATTTTTTTTACTTACCTTTAAAACCGGTAAATATTTGGGTGGGTTTCGAATGATTCCCCTGGAAAAACAATACGCGACTTCCAATTTGACTACATTTGAAGAGATTTTTTTCCGTTTTCTTTATTTGCAATTCAAACAAAGCATCTGCAAACTTCAAACCTTGAAAATATAATACAATGGGACATATTTTTTTTTAATATTTTATGCTCGAAGTACCTGATATGTTTAACTCGTTTGTTCCTGGTAAAACTGAGGCATTCTGAATGGACATTTGTGAAATGTGTTCGGACATATCAAATTTTATGCCCGCATAGCCGAATAAAATTGACTGCAAAAATCCTCCTATGCCAGTTAGGAAATTGGCCGATCCTGGGAAGCCAATTTCTGTTTCGCTCCATACCTTTGAAAACATACATCAATACATCAGGTTATTCTTACTATGGGTTAATAAACAAGTTTTTGTAAAACTTTTCTAATACTAGACGGTGCCAAGAGGAAAGTTTATCATCTACTCTTTTAATAATGTATCCAAAGGAATATATTTTACTTGTAATTGAAAAGAGCCCATTTAAATTACACATTCAAATGGCTCACAAGTAGAAAACAAACAAGAGGCCTTAGGTACCTTGAATTCCGGCCGAACGTAACTTTGATATCCTTTCAGAAAATATTTATCAGCTTTGCTTGTAAGACCCAGTTCCAAAAAGTTTATAGCAAACATTGACCAGGTCATGGCAGGACCGGACTGTCGAGTAACATTCTCGTATATTTCCAAGTCATTATAGCGCGTGGAACTAATTTGACAAAAATGATTGTTTCAAATAAAAAAAAAAAACGTATTCAATGGGAACTCTTACTAATTCATCTTGAGCTGCAAAGGATATCCAAGTAAAATAGCGTCGGCTTGTTTAATTTCTTCTCCCGGTTGATAGCCCAAATGTTGGGGGTGGAAATCATTTACAGAGTCGTATAAAATGAACATGTTATCAGCGTGTTGCAGCCAATCCATAGAAGAATGATTCGAGTTTGGTGAACATTGCGACTGAGTGTAACTGCAATAGTTTTTTAAGTATATGTGTTCAATAATCTTTGGAAAATATTTAATTATGGTACCTTGCAAATGTAAATGCCTTCTGGAAAGCCACATTTGTGTACACGTTGTCGGTGACATGTTCGTGATCCTCATCGGGGCCCATAACATCTGAGATCGGAAGTTGGTATGAGTGTTAAAATAAGTTAATTGCGAAAATCCTTACCTCTTATGTGGTATTTCTTTGTCTCTGTGTTGAAGTCGGTTCGGTTGGAGAGAAAAACGGCAATTTCACTTAGTAATGGCCAAGCTGTGTCACACAGCCAATTACGGTCTAGTGTATTTGTATAATATCCTTGCAGTGCAATTGCAATATCGGCAGAAATATGAATCTCCTGTTCGGCCACTTCGGGACAACATGGGTTGGTGACTTCAGTCCCAGTAAACGCACTCTCCCATGGAAATCTAAAAGCATTGCGGAATCACATAAGCCGTTTTTACAAAAACAAAAATGAAAGGGCACAATCATAATGTAGTATGTAGTATATAATAAATTCCTATTCATATTTATTTGTGACTCTTTTCACCTTGCTCCCAAGAAGCCGGTACGATTTGCATTGTAAATAGCTCCCTGTATATGACTAAGTCGATAGTTGAAGAGTTCTTTAGACCAGCCGTTGTGCATTTGAGTAACAACTGGCAACATCCAAATTTCTGTATCCCAAAAATTGTGACCTTCATAGTCAGCATCTAGTTGACCACGGGCTAAACCAGTTGGACTTAAACCAAAGTATGGCTTGTTTGGCTTATTAGTGGCAACCGAAGGCAAAGAGCTAGCCATGTAAAATATGCCGGCATTAATGATTTGGGCCTATAATATGATAATTTTTTAAAAAGGTTCATTTGTTTTATATTCACAACTCACCAATTCGAGATTACCTTTGACATTTATTCCAAAGTTGTTCCAAAATACATGCCAGCTGGCACAATGTTTTTCAAACACTTCATCCTGACCTCTCGCTAGGACTAAATGTAAAATTGATTTTATCATTTCTTTTGCTGCGAGCACATCATATATATTTACCACTTTTAAGTTCTTCCAGAGCTACATATTTATCAGAGTCGACGGTTATAACGAATCGGTAATGAAGAAATCTATGTCCTGTTTTCAGTTTGAGGAGTTTTTGATCTTTTTCTAAATCTTCACTAAATGCCACGTAGATATGCGTGCGATTGGGCTGGAATAGTTTGTGTTCAACTTCCTTTGTAGTGGCTTTTAACATTTTATAGGGGCTCTCACCAATGGTTTCCAAATCAAATGCTTCCGTTTCAGACCCAGAATTGCATTGAAGATTAATCGTCAATGTTTCTGTGAAAAGAAAAACAAAAATGCTTTGCCTCTCGTAATTTCTATGTGAAGTGAATTCTCCACCCTCTCATTATTTTGATAACATTTGACAATATTGTACTAGACTTTGCATTTTCTCGAAAAGACGAGGTTGGAAATTACGCGATATCTTTGAACGTTAAATGAAGTACCTCGTACATAACCCATCTGCAAACAAACGACATATATTTGTAAAATGTTTTTGTCAGTTGGTTTGGATGATTGAATAAGTGCAACAGATAGTTGGAAGGTCAAGAATGTGAATATTAGGTTTTTTGATACAACATTCTTGGCAAACACACAATCATCAGTTGAGCAATACTTATATCCTCCTAAGTGTGTATAAAAACACACAGGATCTATTAAACCCCTGTGGGTTAAACTTCATTAGTATAAATGCACTAATTTACCTCTACACCATGGTGGATCACTCCACATTGTTTTAGTTCTGATCATTACCTTGATCAGTCTCACGTTCGACTGAAAGTTCATAAATTAAAGCCCTATTATAGAAGCGATGAGCATATATTCTTTGGCGTATGGTAATGCCTCCCTCCTTCTGTTGCTTCGACCACTCGAAATAACCACCTGACAAATTCATCACGTAGCTAATATTGGTATGTATTGGGTCCATTGTGTCATTGCTTACGTTGAAGATACTAGCACTTATATTTAGCCAGTTTGGCAACCGCGCTCTTCTGCTATTGCCTTTATATCCATTGTAAACGCCATTTACAAAAATTGCATCTCCAAAGACAGTAAAGCCCATATAGCCATTCGATAACGAAGGCATAAAGTTCAGATCGGAAGGTAGGCTGGAAATATCTAATTAATGTATTTGTGGAAACATGATGGGGCTTCTTACCTTTTTGACTCCAAAATAAACGCATTGTTCTTTTCGTCATCGAAACAGTAGGTGTGTGACAGAATAATTGCAATAATTAAGAAAATTAACATTTTTGTGAATCAGAATACAGAACTTTTTCTGAGTAGCTTCAAGTGTAGTCAGCTTAAATACTAATATATGTATATACAATCTGCTTATCTACAAGCCATGAATGGAATGATAAGACAATGTGGATTTGTTGTGTATTCGTGGCTGCCAGATGATATTATTTATGAAGGTAAAATTCGGTAAATATGTACCACCGAAATCTTCCAATCACCTCGAATCAATTGTAATTTATGTGACAGATTTCATAAGGTGTTCAATGCGAAATACGGGACTTTAAGCAGATTTTAAAATACATACAATTGAACGATTTTTATTAGCTACCGCACTACAGATGTCTTGTACTAAGTTTTGCGGTTTACTCTTGGAACTTGTCGGTTTGATTAAATTCTTAGGTATGGTTCATATCATGGCCAAATTACAAGGTCGAGAAGTAAGAACAGCAGACCTACATTTTTTGTCAACATAATTTGAATTCGCCTGACAACTACAACCTTCAAGAATCTTCTTGTTTTCATTTTTTTTTTCAATATCATAAAGGGAAAAGAAAGTTCTGGAACAAAGCCTATTTCACATTTATTTTTATCAGCTTTGTAGTTTTGTAGTCATACCAAAAGATTGGACTTATATATATGTCAACTTTACATTAGATCCATGGTACAATAATTAGAAGGCATTAATTATAATTTAATTATAATTATAATAATTATATAATTATAATATATATAGTTATATATATAATTATGTATAAATATAATTATGATTATAATTATAGCGTGTATGTTGAATTCTCCCATTAAAACGTTTAATTGTTATGCGGAGCTCTACTAAATTAGCAAGGTGGTGTGGGTATCATAAAGTCAGCCCCGCCCGACTTTAAGACTTTCTTTACTGGTTTATTTTTCATTTTGATATGAAAAAAAGAACATGGTTATATAAGAAACTCAATATTGTTAAATATATTCAACTTTTTATTCATTTTTCGCGATTTTCTCTTTAATGAAAATATTGTAATTATAATTATATATAATAATTATAATTATAATTTAAAGTTCAAAAGACTATATATGCCGAAGCATTTGTATCTTTTAAATTCGGACTTGTATTGCTCACTTGGTGCACAATTAATTTGAAATCGGATAAAGATGGGAGCTATATCCAAATCGGAACCGATTTCAATAAAATTTGGCAAAGATATTTCTGAGCTGTATTTGATACATTTCCCTGAATATTAAGGCTGTGGGTAACAAATATAACAAATCGGATGAACAGTATATATGGGAGCTATAGCTATATCTGAACCGATCTTCACCAAATTTGACATACTAGCTTCGGTCGTAAGTTCCAAATTCCATCCCATTTGGACAAATATTAGACGTTTGGTGCACAATAAAACTTAATTCGGTCGAAGTTTTATATGGGAGCTATATCCAAATCTGAACCGATCTCGATAACATTGGCATACTTATTTTCAGGCCTAATTTGGTGGTATGTGCAAAATGATATTACACGTTTGGTGCACAATAAAAAGTAAATCGGACGAAAATATATATGGGAGCTATATTTAAATTTTCACCGATTATCTCCAATTTCAATAGGGTTTGTCCTTGGGCCAAA